CGATTCATGTACCGCTGCCCCACAACAAGACACTTCTCACAACCATCAGTACCATTATGGCCAACATAACATTTCAAAAAGGCTCTTGCCACTGCATCACAGATGAAAGCACCTACTTTAACTTCATAATTAATATTTAAAAAATTAAATCCATTTGTAATGAGCTCAATCAATTCTAGTACAAATGGTCTGAGGTAGTCTTCTAAAGTTGAGGGCTTGCCAGATGGTCCATAATACACTGCAATAATAAATGGTTTGCAAATAGGTCCCTGCAAAGAACCAAGAATAGGCATGAAATGCAACTGACAGTGGGGGTTATTTTTATACAAGGGAAGACCATCAATATTAAAATCCAAAACAATCGTTTCATAGGAGTCAAGATATTCTTGAGTTACTCTGATTGAGTGCTGTCCTAATGCCCTTGTACCACAAATGACCATTCTCAAGTTCAATGACATCTGTACTTTTAGGTGTATCTAACAAGGTCCTGGCATCAAGGGGCAAAAGTGGATGGTGTGGCTTTAAGATGCGCAAAATATCATTCACTTTCTTCTGAGTAACGTTGCGCATTGCCCAACCTCGGATACTGTGCAGAAGAGCCAGCTCCATATCGACTTCTTCCTGATCTTCACCAGGAGATGCAGCATCACTGCCATCGTCACTATTCTCACTGTTGCTATCAGCATTGCTGCTGCTGCTACTTTCATGAGGAGCCTCAACCTCAGGTTCTTGAAGATCATCATCATTGCCATTGTCGAGATCAACTTCAACATTGGCACCAGCTTCAGCATCATCTGTAGAAGCGTCTGATTGAATTGACACATCAGACGACACATTTGACAACTCATCAGATGAAGACGATGAAGCTTCAGATGACGATTCAGAGGATGATTGTCGTAAGACACCTGCACGCAAATCACGCAGCATTCTTCTCCGCCGCCGTGCTGCATCCCAAAGTAAAATTCGGTCGGGTCGATTCTGATAGAAAGTAATCAGTACACACTCTTCTGATTAGTGACATCTTTGTGATCACATAAAATTTTGGAAGACAGACTAGCTCCACAAAGAAGGTTAACCTACATTACCTGAATTGAATTTACAGAAGGGGAATTTACTTAGGGGTTGGATGTTTCAAGTAAAATAATACTTACAGGTCTTTGAGCGTGGTCCATTGCAGCTATCTTGATCTTTCCAATCGTGTTCAATATAATTTATTTATAATATAATTTATAACTACCGCATTTTCGAATCCAAAACGTGTTCAAAGCGGTTCTTGGTTTGTTAACGATTGTGACATGACGTGAATGTGAATGCGAATAAAGCGACATCGAGAGGTTACGCGAAGTAACGCAAAGTTTTCCGTACGGAAGTATGAGAAATCTATGTGCTAAACATTGGCTGGCGCGTAAAAACAATTCTGACATCATATTGAGGTCTATTTGATCGATCGTCTATTTTTGATGATATCAAATTGTGGTCAAAGTCCCTTGCTATTTTGATGATGACGACTTTCTGTCCTCTTTGACGTCAAATTGATGTAAATTTGATTGACCATTGCTGGCTGGGTTAAATTTATTGCTTATATTTGTGATTACC